GTATAAGTATAAAATATATACTATTTTGTGCAAAAAAGTTGCAAAAACAGTAAACTTTAAGTCTAAAATATATAATCTAAAAACAGATAACAGAGACAGTGGAATGCAGTGAATGAGGTACTGGTGTTTGCAGAATGCTGAGCAAATTTAGCAGTATGTGTGAAGGATGATCACACGGTGTAGTTTATTGGTATTATTATAGTTTATCTGGTCGGATGCAAACTGCATTTCGCTGCTTTGTACTTGTGACATGTGCAATGACAATAAAGTTGAATCTAACACATTATACAGCAGGGGATTACTACGAGTTGCTCAAAAACCATTGTCCCTGAACGCACCATTAGTCCGCACGCATGCGCAGTGACAGAACAATAAGAGCTAGCAGAGCAGAATGGATGCGATGCTACAAACCTGATCGACACATGTTAGCATCCTGATCCAAGGAGGACTCCGTACCCGGATGTACAGTGACTGACACGGAGAGGGTTCACCAGCTGGACTCGAACTGGTGTGTTCACGCGACGCACAATGACGTGCTACGGCTAGCGTGTTAGCTAGCAGGGCTAAACAACACAGAGCGGTGACAGCCAGAGCTACAGGAATCCGAGTTATTGTTGTGTTCTGGGAGAACGTGTGAGGGTTTGTGTAACATCATCTGACACATGCTCACTACGTGACGCGGTTGTGCTCGTGCATTGCAGGCTCGCCATGGGGAAGGGCTGTAAAGTGGTGGTGTGTGGCCAGGCAGCAGTGGGGAAGACTGCCATTTTGGAGCAGCTGCTGTACGGAAACCACTGTGTAGGTGAGAGACGAAGCATGACAGAACAGTGATGACAGAACAGTGACGTCTGATCATGTCATTTCAATGTGGGGGGCTGATCTGGATCTTCAACACCTTGGTCGACTGTGCAGGTATAGCTCTATCACTGACTTTGTTTCAGTCTGATCTTAATGGAATGAGGTGTATTCACATCAGTGGAGACACTGTTGTTTTGTTCAGAATCAGAAGTACTTTGTTAATCCCCGTAGGGAAATTCAAATGTTACAGAGCCCCTGAGAAAGAGGTGAGAGAGCAAAAGCAGGTATAAACATAGCAATATAAAAATCAAGTCAGGCTAAAAGAGATAAAAGATATACATATGTAGAAATAAAGACCGAGTATGTTTAGATTTACATTTGTGCATGAGTAAAGTAAGTTAAAGTTAAAGTATACACAGTATACATTATTAATCTTTATACTTTACAGGTTGTCATTGTACAATTTGACAGCCACAGGCAGGATTGATTTCCTGTGGCGTTCTGTCGAGCAGCATGGGTGGAGGAGTCTGCCACTGAACGAGCTGCAGAGGCTAATCAAGACATCATGGAGAGGGTGTGACAGAAAGTCCAATATTGTCCTTACTTCGGACAAAGTTCTCCTCTCCATCACCACTGTGACACTGTCCAGCACCCCCCCCCCMMMATGGCTGGCTTTCTTGATTAGCTTGTTGAGTCTATTAATGTCCTTCTTCTTCAAGCTGCTGCCCCAGCAGACAACAGCAAACATGATAGCACTGGACACAACAGACTCATAGAACCTCCATTGTTGTGTTCGTGTGGGGCTGAACGCCTGGTTTCAGATCTGTCTTGTGTTTTCCAGGCTCCGAGTCCAGCGAGACGCAGGAGGACGTGTACGTGGCCTCGGTGGAAACCGACCGCGGTGTGAAGGAGCAGCTGAGGCTCTACGACACTAAGGGTCTCCACGATGGACAAGACCTCCCCAAGCACTACTACTCAGTGGCAGACGGCTTCGTCCTCATCTACAGCGTCGACAGCTTGGAGTCTTTCAAGAAGGTGGATTTTCTGAAGAAGGAAATAGACAAATCCAGAGATAAGAAAGAGGTGCAGCTGCTTCAAAGTATTCTTTCGTAACTTTCACAATATGTGTCTTGTAGAGTCTATCTTACTCTGTCCTGAAATGTACCGTGTATATCACAAGACTGGAAGTGTTTGGACAGCTGCAGATGCTCCAGGCTCACAGCGTCTGAGACGTTTCACTGTAGTATTAATTATTTAATTTGAATTTGAATGAGCTGAGGCGCAGAGCTTGAGAAACTAACATGTGAAACTGTCTTACACAAGACTGCTGTGTGTAACAAACCCCAGGAGATCAGCAGCTTCAGAAACACTCAGACCAGCCTGTCCGACACCAACAACCAAGTCACAAGTGTCTGAGGTCACATTGTTTTACCAGCTCTCATGTTTTATGTAACCATTAACTGAAGCCTCAAGCTGTATCTGCATGGTTTCATCCATTGAGCTGCTGTCACATGAGTGGCTCGGTAAGCAAGAGTATGGCTGTCCCTAATTAGGTGTTTGGTGAGTTCAATTTATTATATAAGATAACAATAATAAAATGATATTTATCAGCCACATGTGAAAACAAGTTATGTATAACAAAGTGATGGATAGTCCCATTCAAAGTTGCTCACACATTGTGCACAGTGAGAACACATAATTGATCTATGTCATATTTTTAAAATGTTCATATAGTTTTTTTCATTCTCTGCTCATAAAGAATTTAAAACCTCAACCTTCCCTCAGGAGCAAAAATCAGTGTTAACTGAAAAGAAATAATAACTTGACATTTATTGTGATAAATATCTATCGACTGTTGTGAACATTTTTATCTATATATATTATTTGATCATGTTACCCAGCCCAAGTTTATATCCACCTTATTAAAATCCATGGCTCTGGTCAAGTAACAAGATGCCACGTTCCTCTCCCCATAAGCTCTCAGTCATTCTGGTTTGTTCTCTGTCTTCAAGTGTCCATATGTTAATACTGAGGTACTTCACAGGTTTTTACATTTTTTCAGTTTGACTGGTGAGAGATACCTTAATATCTTACTGCCCAGTGTTTGCCGGACTAGAAAAAGAGCCCAAAGCTTAAAAAGAAAGTATATTATTAATATTTAATATTATCTAATGCTTTTTAAACTGGTGGCTGATGTACCATGAACTTGATAGAATGTGGTTGCTGTGTTTCTGCTGTGTCCTCAGGTGACGGTCGTGGTGCTGGGGAACAAGACGGACCTGCGGGAGCGTCGGCAGGTGGACCAGGAGGTGGCGCAGCAGTGGGCGCGGGGCGAGAAGGTGAAGCTGTGGGAGGTGAGCGTCACCGAACGCAACTCGCTCATCGAGCCCTTCACCCAGCTGACCAGCCGCCTCACCCAGCCTCAGAGCAAATCTTCCTTCCCTCTGCCAGGGCGCAAAAGCAAAGGCACGCCGTCCAACGACATGTGATACTCTGAAGACCCCCCCCCCAACTCACACTCCTCTGCTCCTGCTATCCACAGGCTGCATTCACCTCACATGGGAACAACTAGCAGGACAACAGGGATTGCCTTTAGCTTAGCAACATGACCTTAACTGCTACTGTGTGCATTTGACCATTTACACACATTCGTTCACGTATATGAACAGCTAAGCATTGTGGGAAGTTCACTTATTGACTGGCTTTGTGAAAGTGAGAGGAAAAGATCAATATAATGCCTGTGTGTTAAGTGAGATGGCTCAAAAGATCTCTATTTAACATATCATCTAATTTTCATAAATGTAAAACCAAAAGGTTAAGTCATCGAGCGCAAGCTCTCTGCGTAAGATCGATGGAACCAAATCAAAGACAAAGTCACTGTGATGACAACACTTAAAGGTCCAGTGTGTAAGATTTAGGTGAAAGGGAACTATTGGCAGAAATGTAATGGAGAATAATCCTCATGATGTTTTCACTAGTTCATTTCATCTAAATTGTATGAATTGTAGTTTTCTTTACCTCAGAATAGGCCCTTTATATTTAAATACTTTATATTTACATTGAGGGGACCCTCTCTATGGAGGCCGCCATGTTTTTAACATTAGTCCAGACTGAACAAACTAAACACCTTTTGAGTTTTTATGACAACTGAAGCTACCACAGTTTCTTTTCCATGTTTGTCACAAAATTCTACACACTGTACCTTTAAATTCTTCTTAAAGAGCAAACGTCTGCTGCTGCCTGGAATCTTGTCATCGCAGTAAGGTTGCCAAGTTTGGCCACTGTGCCCGGACAGATAGTCAAACCTCTGCTCATCAACCATGTCTGGCTGCCAAGATTAGCTGGTGACAAATGAACTGTTTGGCTAGAGAAGGCTCCAGCATACGCTCATTGGTCACTTTATTTAGTGCAACGTAATCATTTAACAGCTTTTACTGGCATTGTCAGAAATGTGTTAACGTCATCACTACACCTCTTACTTTAAAGGCATAATAAAAGTAGAGTTTATGGCTGAGCAGTTGTAACTAATAGTGGATACCGAGTACAACTTGTTCTTTCCCTTCATTGCCAGGCAGCCACTGTAAATAAAATAAAATAAATTAAAAGCAGCCTAGCAGCAGCCTAGCAGCTTCCCTGCACTCTAAGCTAAGGCTAGACCTGTAGTTGGCTCCTCACCTAACACACAGACATTGAATGTCTCCACTTAATCTGGGGAAAAAGTTAGAAAAGTGAGTTTTCTGAAATGCTGAACCTGAATGTGAGGACGGATGTTGTACTTCATCTTTTACAACAAACCAAAACCACACGTTTACCCTTAAAAAAAGCTTTTCCATACAGTGCTCAACACTAACGTTTCTCTTGTTTTCATGGGAAAAACATCATTTAAAAAAGAAAGCACTTTAGTACCAAAGATTTCAAATCACTTTGTTTGGTTTGGCATTTGAGTTGTGGTCGTGAAGCACTGTGCGACCTCCACCGTTCTTTTCATTTGAAACGTGTGTATCCTCCCAAGTTGAAGGACAAGTTCATAAGTCATGTTTATACAAAGAGTTATCGCATCATCTCTGTCATGGAGGAGAAACCAATCAAAGGCCAATCTGCAAACAGACTCACAGTCCACTCACAATATATTTATGCACTGAACAAATGCAGATTGGATTGAATGAATCTCTTTACGACCAATACAGGGTAACTGACTGCAGCCACCTTTAAATCTAAAGACATGCAGCTGAACGTGGGATTGACTTTAGAAATCTGAAATTCTCCTCAAAGCTCTGGGATCAAACACCTCAAGTAGTTCATTATCAGAGTTTACACAGTTAAAGGAGTGTTGGACCTGAAATGCTATTTCCCATCTGATGTGAACGCAGCACCAATCCTTCCTCTGGTTAGTATCAAATAGTAAACATGGCTCAGCAGCAATAATGTTCATGGTACTACCTTTACTTGTGATGTATGATTTCATAATGTCTGATGTTAGCTGCACTCCTGTGTGTCGTCCAGCCTCTATAATCTAATAGGGCTCCTGGTTAAAGCTGTGTGAGAGAGAGAGAGAGAGAGAGTGTGTGTGTGTGTTTGTGTGTGTAAAAGCCTTTTTAACAGTAGAAATCTGTGTTGAGGAAATATTTATTTTTTAACTAATTTATTTTTGTCACTTTAATGAGCCACATTCCTTGACTGAAAAAAACAAAACATGGCAAGACTGTGATGGATGACCTGCGCTGTTTTCTGTGTCCTCAGTGTCTCTGAGTAAAAACTATGGATGCACGATATATGTATCGGCTCGATAATGGGAATTTTATTTTATTTATCAGAATCGGAAATTATTACCGATAAAACGTGGTGGTACCTGGTCACGCTCATGACATCATACATGCCTGTCCATACCAGCGTGATGTGTTTACGTCAGAACTGAAAAGTCCGTCGCCGTTTCTGAGAGCAACTGTAGAATTGTAATTTGTAACAAATGTGCAACGGTTCCGAGAGGGGGAAACATTTTAATGCTGCCAATCTCCTAAGTCACCTTAGAGTCCGCCAACTCTTAAACTTAAAGCTGCTGATGATTAGCTTAGCAACTCAGTATTTTATCTGAATTACTATTTTAATATGTACTCAACTTAAAAACTAAAGGAACATTCAGAACTGAGTCAGAACTGTTTTTATTGTGTTAACAGGATTTTAATTCTGCTTACTATATTTTGCAATTTAACCCTCTGGTGTGCAAACACTAAATGCTATGAACTTCTTTTTAAGAATCATGAAATTATCTGTATCGGCTGGAAGAATCCATATCGTGCATCCCTAGTAAAAACATTATTGTGCTGCTAGTAGAACAGAGGTAGTGACATCAAGACTGAAGTCAAACTAACATTAAACTGCTCTGTGCTCTAATCGGTCTTAAAATGTGCTGAATGAAAATAAAACCTCTTCATAACACATCCTGTCAGAGCTTTATTCTGGTGGTGAAGTGAACATGTTTCAAACGATTCAACCAAGTTGGATGTTTCTTCAGTTGGTCGTGTTTAAGTCTTTAAGGGAGAGAGGGAACAACTTGTCATCAGAACAGAGCACATGTCACAACCAGGATCCATCCATATCCAAACATGTCTACATGTGTCAAACACTATGGGGGGGGGAAGCAAACTCCAACCAGAACTTTTAATGCATGTGAGAATTTATACAGAATTAGGGCATCCTGCTGTGACAGTTTTTACTTAACTTTTAGTATATATACATTCATCCTTCAAGCCCAAGCTAAAAAAAAACAAGCGAAAACCTTAAATGCATTATTGACAAATTTGATTATAGTTAGGCTGGAGACAATAAAATAAAATAAATGACAACAAAAAGACAGGAGTTAAGACTTTTGAGATAAAAATCCCCCCCACAGCATCCCTGACTCATCCGAGCAGCAGCCCCTCTGGTGATTATGTGGCGTAGCGTTTGGTCCACTGTTTGGCTATCCTGTCATGTTCAGGTCTGTTTGTTGTGTACTGTGTGGCGATGCTTCCAACCAGGGGGTCGGCTGCAAATACACAAAAGCAAAACGGGACATTAGAAATAGCCTCATTTTTTTTTCTTATTTTTTTTTTCTGTAGATATCACAATAATAGTTATGGTGGATTATTTTGGTAACAAGAAGCATTGTGGACGCCCGACCTCATGAACAGATTTGTTCTTAAATTGTGTATACAAGTTATTCATGACAACTTGTCACATTCACCAATTGTCTTTCTCCTTTTCTTTAATGTACAAACTGAATGTTTGAGTGCTCCTGACCCATTGAAGGAGTCACAAATAAATCAGTTAGCCGTCAAGGTTTTTTTTTTTTTACTAATGCATCTTATATTTCATTAGTTTATAGCAATTACAAATAAATATATAATTTACACCTCACAGTTTTAGTGACATTCATCTGTTTAATTTGGATCATAACATAATTCTAAATTCATTCATTATCTCCCAAATGTTGTGATGTCCAGAGGAGCACACAACTCATTTGTGCTGTAGAATAATGCAGTTAGCAGGCGCATACTGAGAAGGCTGGCTGGACTTAATTGTCGCCATGTAAACTCATTTCAGATAAATTAACTACATTTCACTTCTTTCTCTCGCTGATGTTAATTTTAAACTCTGCCTCATGACACCTCCTTATGCTGCTTTAGTCGATCTCTTCATTCTACTGCTGCTAAGAAGTCCAGACTTTCCTCTCTGCATCTCATCAGGACTTGAATCTTTGAACTACTCAAGTTCTTCTATTTACTCTGATGTCATTTTCATGAGGGAACACTTCTGACCCTGGGCAGCTATTATTTGGGCATTTATTATGCTAATGTACGATTCTCCTGCACTAACCCAAATACAACCAGGTGGCAATTTTTCAGAGGAAGCGTTTGTTGAACCTTGCTGTGGCATTTTCATCATACAAACAAATGCAGGAGAATTTTAGAATAAGAATACGAACATGTTCTTGCATTGATTAGATATTTACACAGTGTATTAACTCTGGTTATTTTTTATAATAAATAATAAAAAAAGATAATTTGCCCCTTTTTTGACATCGTTTAATATCTAAACCCAACTTCCCCACAACAGGAGCCGACAATATGGAGAAAATCCTCTATCACTGCATAGGTAATTAAATATCCCAACATTATTCTTTGTTGAGGAAAACAATTAAAGAAATAGTGAATCTGTGAATTACACTTGGTATTACCACACAGAACACTGCTAACATTTAAAGAGCAACTGTGCTGCAGTAACCCTGCTCAACAGAAGAATACAATGATTTACTGAATGCTTTTCCTCAGGCAGTCACAGCAAAAACGCTGTGTTACCGTCTCCAGTCACAAAGACTTAGCCTGGTGATTTAAGGGGGTTTAAGGCCCTGTAATATGAGCTGGAGTCACAGAGCACATTTAAGAGTGATAAATTCAACTTTAAAACCCTTTAAGTAAAGTCCTGTAATTCCTGTAGGGCAAAATGAGAATTTCATCATTTCTCCTCTAATGTTCTCAGGACAATCAGGCTGAGAAGAGGTTTTTTTTTTCCCGGGAAGAATGTTCTGTTATAAAAAAAAGATGCTGCAGACAGAAATAGAGGGTAAAGAGGAAAATCATTTAAAACAATTATACATCATCTGACTGAGGGCAAAATGGATTGTTAAATCAGAGAGAACCAATATATTAAATATTGGCAGAATATGTGTGTGTGTGTGTGTGTGTGTGTGTGTGTTGCAGCTCTCACCAGGGTTGCAGTCAGTGAGCAGGGAGCAGATGGACAGCAGGACCTTGGAGATAGTGAGGGCAGGACTCCAGTTGTCCTTCAGGATGTCCAGACAGATCACCCCCTGACTGTTGATGTTACAGTGGTAGATCCTGGTGCGGAACGTCACCTGGACGACGCACACAAAACAAGAGGATCAAAATCACTAAACAGATTTATTCTTAGTTAATTACTTATAGTGCAATACAGTTTGGTGACCAACACCAGGACACAGCAGAAAACAAGAGGGGGACTCCAGCACATCAACATGAACATCTACGAGGAAAAATAAAGTGAGAAAGAAATAATAAAAGATAGATTTAAAAAGGAAGGGGGGGGGCTCCCATTCATTTATCGTGGTAATTGAGTGCATGCATATGAGTGTTTTTTGTAGATTTGAATGTAAGAGAGGCCAGAATATAACAACATCTGCCAGAGGGAGAAAGATAAGAGAAAAAGAAATATGCTTTTTGAGGGCTTCCATGGTTTGGAATTGATGACAGAGGGGAGCCCTGGACAAACGTTTGGGTCAGAGTAGAATTATTATTTAACCCCCCCCCATCCCCTCATTTGCCCTATACACTCTCTCCTCTTCCTCTTAATTTTTTGCTCTTGCCCAAAACAGATTTTGAACACGTTATGTTCTCTCATGTCTGCCAGACAGAAACACATTAACTGTTCCATAATGCCTCTTGTCAGGCCCTCATCAGGCCAACATCAACCCACTGAACTTTAATTTATTACAAACTAGTCTGCACCACAGAATGAGGACGTGAGGAGACGCCCAACTTTAAGAATGCTACTCCACAGGTTACAAAGAATTGAAGAGGAGTACCTTAGTAATTAAGAAAAGCCCTCATGTCATATTTTGTGAAGTGTGAATGTTAGAAAACGTGAGATGATAGATGCAGTTTAGTTGAGATGAGAGGACGACAACTATCACTGTATCTGAGAGGCCTGAGAAGTTGAAGATATGTATTCGCTGCTGATCTCATTTGGTTGTGTGCCCTCTAGTGAAAAATATGAAAACTACACTTCTCTGAAGGAGATCCATCAGTGTCTGATGCACAAAAACAGACAACTAGTTAAAATATATGAGTTACCTTGGGTGGTTTGAAGGGGTAGTCTGGTGTGAAGGCGATGTCCAGGAAAAACACTCCTCCCTCGTACGCGGAGCCTGGAGGGCCCAGGATGGTCGACCTCCACTCGTAGATGTTGTCTCCTTTAGGGCCGGCGCTGTCGGGACACAGGGAAAATTAACTGTCTATGTCTGTAGTGTCGTTAGCAACTAGGCAACAACTGCGGTAACTCAGCTGTACCACAGAGGGAGAGGGACTCATTTGAAAGCTCAGTATTCCATAAAAAAAAACTGTGTAAACCGGATCAGTTCTCTGGCTGCCTGACAACCTGCACAAAGGCACAACGACAGCATTTCAAACTTTATCATGCGTGAGAGGTTTCCTCACCTAACATCGAAGCAGCATCTGTCTCACTCTCCTCATAAGAGTCATGACAATGGCTCTAGTACCATTAAAAATACAAATAAACAAGGATATAAAAATACATGGTCATAACTCTTATTTCAGATACCCCTAAAAACTGATCAGGGCTTTCATCAGGTCCTGGGTTTGTTCAGAGGACCACAGTCCCTGCCTTTGGAAGAAATTAAGATCATTTAAAACTCTATATCATCTCAAAAAATGTAAATATGTTAGAAAGTGAGATTTATATCATATCCTAGACTTATTAAACGTACGCTACATTTTTAAAATTCCCATAATTATGCCTACAACAAAAAAAAATAAAACATATCTCAAAGTATTAGAATATTTCATGACAACATTTTACTCTTCTACGATATTCAGCCACTAATACAATAAACAAAGTGCGGTGGCCCACGTGCGTCATCATGCACACAGTGGGAAGCAATAAGAAAAGAAAAGATCAACATAGCCTCATTTGCCTATGGAGATACAACTGAATACTAACAGGACTCAAACTACAGCAGCAGCACAGAAAGTCAACAGCAGCTTCCCTCTGCGTTTTAATGGCACAGACGTTTTCACATAATTGAGCGGCTGATGAAGCGCCGAGCAAAACAAACCTTTGCTGTTTCACATTCCATTTTTAAATAAGCAGAGCTCTTACAGAGGCAATCAAATGAAAGTGAAAAATAGTACATGCACAACACAGTGTACAGCAATATATTTAGACAGAAACTATTTGAATATTTAAACAAACAAAGTATGATGTATTATTCAACAAACAAATCTATTACATTATTCAGACACGGCAATTCCACGAATAATACAGTGCAGCGAAGCTCTGACTGCACACACTGATTTCTCTGTAGGTCGTCTGTTCCGACAAACAAGTATTCTGTATATAGCATAGTTTATAGTATTCCGTGAAGCAGACGCTCAGTTCTGTCCACACTTCATCACACACACACACACACACATATTATTTTGTAGACTGCTCTTAATGAGCAAGAATCACCACCTAAATCATGTCTGTGTCTCTAGTCGGGGCTGTAAAATGTAATAAAACATTTATTGTTGCTTCCACATGAAAAGGGTCAAGCCTCATGAAGCCTGGAGCTCACACTCTCCTCCAGGGTGTCCTGCCCTGCACCCCCCCCCCCTCTGTGCATTGCTTCCATGTGATAAAAAGAGAAGACAGATAATATAGGAAGTGTAAAATCTGTAGAATCAGACACACTTTACTGAGCTATGAACGTCATTTAAGGTGAGGTCCAACATTCACAGCAGGACCACATCTACCCAGTAGGGGGCAGTGGGGTAAGGGTCAGGAGTGAGCCTGTGCAGATCTCTATAGCGGCTTTTCAGACATGCACTGAATTCTGGTGCTGTGCGTGAGGGTAAATGTCCGACTGAGAGCCTCTGACTTTCTGCAGGCTTTCTCCAGTAAGGCCGCATAAAGTCTTTGGGATTCACTGTGAGTGAGTGGGGGTGCTGGTGATGTTTCTAACACAGGACAGACACACAAATAAAAAACTAGACTCAAAGAATACAAATGTTTCAGGATGAAACAGACACAATAAAGATATCGAGAGTTTTTAGCAACATTTAGTAACAAAAACATGTGATCTTCACAGCAGAAATCTCACATAACATCCTGCCGCTGCCTGCAGCACCACCCCCCCCACCACCAGATCTTCCAGAGATTTCTGTTATCGTGGGCACATTTGAGCAGACTATCTCCTGCTGCGTTGTTCCTGTGTGAAAGACATAATGCACCCAATTCTACAGACATCATCCGGAGGTCATGTCTGAAAACAACTATACTCTCTGTGAACCACATGCGTTGGGCTAAAGCAGTTAATCAATGATCTAATTAGATGCCATAAAGTTAATTAAAAGGCAGATTAATCAATGAACTACAACAGCAATCATTGACGTTGCTCTGCAGAAAACAACTGCCATAAAATCCTCAAATTCTCGCTTCACATTATTATTCTCCTTGAGTTTTTGAGGGTTATCAGTCAAACAAAAGCAGCAATTGAAACAAATAATCTTTAACAATAAGCATTTTCACCATTTCTGATGTTTTATACACTAAACAACAAACTATGAGAGAAATGGCTGGATTATAGGCAGATAAATCAGCGTGCTGACTGATATGTAAGTACAGTACAGAACACTAGTTTGAGATTATCTAGAAACGATATCACAGAAAAGCCCTAAACACTTCTTTTTTCTCTGTCTGTCATGTCCACCATGTCCACACTGGGACTTCTTCTAACAGCTGTAAGCAGTACTCATCGGTTTCTGCTGCATGCAGTGTTTGAATGTAATGTAACAGGACAGCCTCTGTGACAACATTGAAGCTGATGTAAAGCAAGAGCATTATAGATCATTGTTACATCTTTCATTGTGTCACTTAACACAAATAACTTAAGATAATAATCAATAAGTTGAAAAGATAATATTGTCTATATGGGGAAAATAACTTTTGCCACATTTAAGGATTCTGTAGTTAAGTAGAGATTTTTTGTTACAATGAGTCACACCAGTGTGTCTGACGTTAGAAAAATATTTGTTTAATGGCAGACTAATAAAAATGAAAGCATCAGAGGGGCAATTGTAACTTATTTATATTGGAATAAAATCATTTCATAATGATCCTTAACCTACCATATGATCAGAAATAGATGTCTTTAAGCTTTAGGCCGTGTTTATAGGATGCAGAGATTCCTAGAAATGTCCATGTTATATTTTCACTTTTATGACAATATTTTTGTTGACCTGGACCTTTGACTGCTCAGCTCCAGACCTGAGATACCCTTCAAAATAATGGTATAACGTGCACGCAAACACCCCCCCACACGGGTGAAAACAATTCCTGCAGGAAAATGACAGATAATTACAGTGATACTGTCTCATTCACACACTGACCTCTGGCTTCTGTTGCCACAGAAAAAACAGATCCGTGTGTGTCATGCATTGTCAAACGGGGGAGGAGCTGTTAATGAGCTGAACAGAAAACACTTTGTAGAAACGTAAATGAGCTTCAACAGCTTCACAAATTACAGCTTCCAAAACCCCCACACACATGAATCGAAACCTCTCAACCTATTTCAACTCAGAGTAATCGTAACCTTCATGAAAGTTATCGTTATATTCGATTAGATGAACTTTATTGATCCCAGTTGGGAAATTGTTGTATATAATACGAAGCATTAAAAAGTCAGTCCCACTACTGACTACAGTGTGTACACAAGTGATGGCTTGAAACAAAGAGTAAAGCCAGATTACAAAAGGTACTCCTATACCCACATGTGAAAATAACCCCCCCCCCCTGCTCACTACATAAAAAAATACCACGTCCCACTGAGGAATGCACTTCGTTAACACTGTGTTACCAGCGTTCCTGCAGGGGGACGCCTGACCTGGGGAGGGACTGCTCATGGACATGTCACAGCACAAGAGTGTCAGTCAGGACCCACTGCTATGTCAAGAATAGATATTGAATCATTTGCCACAGATTCAACCAGGTTTTTTTTTTTCTTCGCCTGACAACAGAACCATCTAACATAACATAGAGAGATAGAGAGAGAGGCAGAGAGAGAGAGAGAGAGAGAGAGAGGCAGGGCTTCTTCCCCGCCTGACGCCAAACCTCACACAAAGGCCACCCAGTGCTTTTTGTGAGCAAGTAATATGCCATGTTATCACTGTGGTCATTCACTTCAATATCAGGAGAGAGGGGGGATTCTTCTGTGGCCTCTGTGTGTACGTACACACACACACACACACGCACGCACGCACACACGCACGCACACACACGCACACACACTCACACCGAGAACACTGCTGACATTTCAGCTGTTTCCCTTTTTTCTAAGCCTTTAACCTTTGAAAAAGGCACACAGCGGTTTACCCAAAACTGAGTCTCGCGGCCCTGCAGAGGAGAAGAGAGGTTGAATATGTCCACTGAGCCGACACCATTCATCTGCCTCACATAAAATCAGCTCCAATATGTTCGTATGCATGTCTTAATGTGCAGTCTTTAGGTAAGTCAATATGGCAGGTGAACATATAAAAGAGTGCTTGAATTCATATTAAAGGTTTTTTTTAAATCAACCTTGGGCAGTGTGTGTTTTTAACAGTTAGAAACAGTATTGATATTTTTTATACTTTTTTCCAATTACCTAACCCCCCAAAAAATCCTTACTTTTGATTGTGAGGTCAAGCTGCACCACTGGCCTCGCTGCCCACACACTTTTCACCCACCAAATCGAAATACAGAGTGCTTTACACTGCAGAGTGACGACAAGGTTTTGTTTGCAGTGATTACAGTTAAACATACAAAAGAGCAAATTTTACTTTTACCTTCAGTGTAAAAGCCTCAGAGCTGAAAAGATCAAAACACATCTGTTCTCTTCTTCTATTCTTCTCTCTGTACTGAGCACATTTGTGTTTCCATTCCTCATCTGTAAATTAATCAGTTCAACACTTTGTGTTGCTTCACAATGCTTTTTACCCTCAAAGCACTTTTGTGCAAGTTCCCTCTCTTTATTGTGGACCTTAATGTGCACACTGCCTCAGACTCATTTTCATTCACCACCACTACCTGCTTAAATCGCTATTGTGATGATAGGGAGAGAGACTGTAATAAGCTGCCTGACAGAGACAATATAATGACTCCATTTCACTTGAGTGCCACGGAGAATCACAGCACACACAACCGCTCCCACACCACCACACCCCACCGATTTAATATAATGGCAATCAGCCTGTATACGTTCTCTCAGTGCTACTTGAGAACAGTGCAGGATGAAGATCACACACCCCTCCACTGAAACAAACAGTCATTACATACTAATAAGTCTGTGTTATCACTAGAGCTGGGCATAACAGCTGATAAACACTACTATGAAAGAAACATTTTCAAATCACAACATTTAATTTTTGTAGAAGCAAAATAAACCAAATAAACTCATTTATATTCAATAGAGTGTAATATGTTCAACATTTATGGATTACTGTCCGACACAAACCATCACAATATGACTCCACTGCAGGTCAGTAAATTATAGCACTGTGCCAGATAAATAAATCTGCATGAAATGTCTTAATGGAATAATATTACTGCTGGTTTAGCAGCGACTGGACATTGTGCAGATGCACAACTGTGCAGATGTGCATAACCGACCAACAGAGGCACTGATGCTCTGTCTAGAAAAGCAGTCTGAGGTTGTCATGTCTTTATTTAGAACACTACCAGACAACAAACTGCAGCTTTGCTTTTAATCCCTCCGCTCAATATTTCTTTATCCCTCACTTGGACCATGACATCACATTTTCCAGGGGGCTGAGCACAGAGAAGTTCTGTTGACCAGAGGGCTGATGTGAAGGCAGCTGTGCAGGCTTCCCACGAGTCAGACTAATGGGGTGTTCAGACTTAATGTGACATTTTCCTGCAGGACACTGACAAACAAAGTCGATGCAAAGATGAAATATAAGAAAATTCTCAAATCCATTCAAGTTGCATTATCAATGATATTCTCACGATGAGAATCAGAAATAGAAGACAAACCTATGGTCATCAACTGTGAGCACCCACAGTGTTCGGTTATCACTTCTGTACTTTATAGAGACAGAACGAAAAGGAGACGGCTCAGAGAACAGACTGATCTGGGCTAAATGTGGCTGTATTTACTTGGAACCGAGTCAGCACTCACATCGGCTGCCTTCCTCAGTTTGTCAGTTCCCTACTTATAACAAAAACTGTTTTACTTCCATAATCACATAAGTAACTAGAACTTCACACTCAGTAGAGTGTGTACCTCCGCCAGGGACCAACAGTCCCCTTAAATTCAATCAAGCTGCACTTTCACAGATAACAGTTCCCTAAGTGTCCATGGTGTTTTTCATCAAGGTCCATTTATTAACAGTGAAAATGTTGAAAAACACCTCACAATGTTAAATAGGTGAAAAATAAATGCCAGGATCTGTTCCCTGATTTGGCTCTGCACCAAATATTACTTGGTTTTTCCCTGATCCATACCACATCCTACAGGGGTGGAAACATAAGATAATGATAATGTTTCTATTATTAACTATTCACGGTCTGGTTGTGTGCTCAGTAAGAATTGATTAATGTTTGCGAACCTGCCATTGTAGCAACCACTGAAACAACCTTACAAATAAACCACAACTTCACTGTGTGCATGCATTTGCACGAGTCATAGGTTCGACAAGCAGCTCTGCATCCCCGTTCACTGTCTGTTCTCAGTGTGTGTGCACTGGTGCCTTCAAGTTTCAACATCACACTTAAGGAAGTTTCATGTTGGACTGACTGGCAGGGGCAGTCTGGTGTCTTCTCCTATGTGCAGATGTATTTTAAGGTGAGCACTGAGAAGCTGTCAGCATATGAATGTGGAACAAAGTGTGTATATACAAATGATCAAAATGAAAATCAATCCTTTTCAAAAGGATAAAACTAAAGTAAATCTCATATAAATGTCATGTAAACTCATAATAAATGGTGAAAACTTCAGTATTTATCAATGTGCATTATCTGATTTAGTTCTAGAGAAACGGTGGACTGTAGATCAGTTATGGGACATTTTCACACCTGAAGATTCAGACCAAGATGTTTTATTACATCGTTTGAACTTGATCTGGTTAGTTTTGGTTTCACGTTGCAATTTAGGGAACTGACTCAAGACGTTCTTATGGCTGGCATATGTACAACCCGTTGTCGCCACCTATACGTGGTCTACGACTAATCAGACTTGACGACCCGTCCAATGTTGAGCCCAAAAGAATTGGTTACTGTAAACCAGGAACTATCTGATGTCAACAAAACCTACTTTTATCATTTTTAAGACTTTTCCATCTTGGATGCTCAGATCCACGCACACACATTTCAGTTGGCAGAAAACAGTCAAACTCAGCCGTACCTGCAGCTGATGTGAGATAAAACGAAACCTCTATTTCCCTTTGCTACCCCACTAAAGCCTGCCACGTAGGAGGGGAACTTCTTCAAACTTCCATCTGTGCAGCAGCAGCTCAGAGCTCAGTGCTGCTTTCAGGTCTTTGTGAAGTAACTGCATTGTACGGGCCAGCCACTTCCTCTCCAGGGAGGAGGCTTTTTATAGATATGAAGAAACTGTTGAGAAAACCTCAGTAGTCTCAAACACGCAAAGCCAGTAACACACTGCAGAGGTGTGTGTATGTGTGCTCACATCAGCAGCAAAATACACACACACACACACACACACGATCTTAATTAGCTGTTTGATATCAGGAGAACTCAAAAGAGACACAAAGGATTGCTTGATTTACAAATGGTTCGGGCTTAAGACATCAACGGCTGTCCAACCCTGCTCAGCTCTAGCAGATACCCTCCCGTTCAGCTTCTGACCAATGGAATGTCAGGAATCTGTAACACCTGAGGACAATGTCTTCACAAAGATCAGGATGTGAGCAATAAATGAAATAGCTAGTTGAGAGGAAAAAAAAGGGATAAAACATAAGGAAATGCAGGGAGGGGCAGAACTGTGATCTGCACTTCACACTTCGGTGACAACGAGGCTGTAGAAAAATAAAAGAGGGTCTGCGCAGCATTCCCCGAGCGGCGTGTAATTCCATTTGGATAAATGCCAAATGAAAGACGCTGCCTTAAAGTGTTTGCGAGATAAAGTTTGATATGACAAAGGCACCGATGATGACGGGAACTAGGAAAAAGAGTGAGCAGGCACAAGACGCCAAACCCACTGACTCATCGATGTGTAATCCATTGAACAGCACCTGCAAGGCAAAGCTGGCCAGCTCTGTTCACACCCCTAATGAGCAGATTCTCTGCTAAATGAAGCACAAAGAACGAAACAATCCCCCCAAAAATCCCCTTAGTGCACGTGGTGCTGAGTGGAGGATTTTCCACAGGGGAAAGAAACTAAATGAAAAGGTGAGGCCTTCTTTTTTACCCACCACACACACACGTGGAGCACTTTGTCATTTCCTTCATCTGGCCAGGTGAGAACAGCGTCCTCTGAACCTGGGTGTCGCCACGTCGACAAAAGGGAAACACCTGAGAATCCCACGATCCTCCAGGAGAACCGGTGCAGTGAGAACGACTGGCACTGTGATGAATTCAACAATAGAAAAAAAAGATGCACTACAGGTGCGGTCTACCAGCCAGTGTGGAAATCTGCTCAATCACGTGCTCTTAACATGAAGTGGAGACATCAACTGTTGAAGATTCATACCAGACTCATGAAAATACACTTTGAAAGAAAAAAGGCTCAGTCTTTTCCTAAAACAGCTGGAACATGTGGTTTTGAGCAAACATGACCCAAACAGGAAGAGACCGGGCATTTACTGGGGACTACTTTCACCTGTGATTAATACACACTAGTGCAGTGCCTGTTGAATGTATCACATGTCTAAATCACACCAAATTCCTTAACAATAGGTCGTTAACAGTACTTATGCCAAGTTTAAAGCTATTAAGATGATTGGTTCTCCAGATATACGCTCCACAGAGACAGATTTGTGGAATTATTAGATTTCATGTTCTAGTGACTATTCGAGGCAGCAGGACGGCGTGTGCAGCACTACAGTGTGTACATTTTCAAAACTGAAGCTGCTTAATGGAATTCAGACTCATACACACTTATATAAAGATGACTGTCACGTCACCACTTCCTCCAACTGTACAGAAATGAAGCCAAAATATCTCAGATACAAATGCCACCATCTTGCACATTTGGATTCAGAGTCGGGGGATGGAGCCGCCGTAGCGAGGTCCCACCATAGGCACACTTGACCGATTGTGAGTCATTCTTAGATGTCAATCACGAACCCACTTACCTAAGAAACGAACACCATAAAATGACAGAAACTTTTGACTTTGGAACACCTCGTTCATTTAAGCTCTCAATGTTTCCTTATTAAAAAACGCTGTATGAGAGAACTTAATATTCCTATTAGGACAATTGAAAACTGGAAATTTTGATTGGACTGTCCATTAAAAGAATAAAACTAGAATGGGACTGACTGGAGCGGATACGTCTGCCAAGGCCCAACAGTCCTCAGAAATTCAATCAAGCTGCACCAAATCCCCCCCGCCCCCTCTAAAATGCCAGATTTTTTCATTAAGATCCATTAATTATTCTCTGGGGAAATCAGTGAAGATGGCAACTGTACTATCTCACAATTTTTAAGAAAGTCCAGTAGTTTTTGCAGAATCTTACTAACAATCAAAACAACCGTCAAACAAACAAATGGAAGGTTGAAAACATAACCTCCTTGTCATAAGTGATAAAACACAAAGACACATGATGAGTCTTTTAGATACTTTTGTCTTCTTCTGACTGGAGACAGATGCAAAGGAGATTTCACGTCACATTCAAGACACCTCAAATGAATTCCTCTAAAACACAACCATACAGCTGCAGACACACACACACACACTTTGGCCCAGATGCTTTGAAAGGCACAGTAGACATTCTCCATGATCATACACTCACCTGCAGTTTGGCGGTGGATCCAGTGTGATGTCGGCCAGCTCCTTCTGAATTCTGCAAAGGCAAAAATAAAGAGGCGAGGGTCAAATGGAAGCTCTCAACAAATACTGTGGATCCAGACTCCGGTGCCCAGATCGATGCCTGACGGACACAAGGCGAGAGCTGCTCCGCAACTAAAAATAAAACCGACTGATGCTCCTGATGACATTTGGTGTCCATCTCTTGTAAACTGTACAGAGAACTCTGAGTGTCTCCAGATGTTGGGCATAGAGATGAACACTCAACACAGTGAGCGTCAGGCCCTGGGGGAAATACAAAATCTGAAGTACATCCATGAGCCTTTCAAGCATCATAGCAACACAGAGTGGCGTGCAGTTGTAGGTCACTGAAACATGGTCGCCATCCTCCGCCATCAGGCCGTTCACCTTTTAGCACTGGTGGAGAGGAGCTTGGAGGTCTTGCTCATGCTGGCTTTGCTGTCACGTTTCTTTGGGGGGGTCAGCTGCTCCTCCTCCTGCTGCTGCGGCGGCGGCTGATGATGATGATGCTGATGAGTATAGGAAGAGGAAGAGCCGGTGCTGGCACGGGAATCTTCATCCGACATACTGAGCCTGGGGAAATAAGCAGGAACACAAGAGTTAAGAAAGGTCAAGAGGTCAATGTAAAGCCTCCACATTAGCACTGCTGCTTAAAGATGAGCATCTTTGAACAGGCTTCAATTCCTGCATGTAACTTTTAGAAACGTTTCTCCAGTAACACAATGCTGTCAAGATTAATGTTTGTATCTAAATGTGCATCACAATGCAACACTCAGTTCCTCAGCTGCAGCCAAGTAAATGACACTTAAATGTTATCTTAATGGAGCTTTGCATTTCGTTTTCAATAAATGCAAACGGGGTATATCTAGGCTATGTGCTGCGACCATGAACCCCAGAGTCCATACAGGTTTCCGTCATTTTTAACTAGCAGGCCTGCACAAGGTGCTGACCCGGGCTCCATCAGTGTAAATTGACCACAGTGTGTGTCACACAGGGTGTTTGGTGTTTATCGGCGGATCACCCCCCCCCCCTCGCTCGTGACGCTGAACTCTGACCCGGCTCGTGTTTGCACAGTTTATTTTGAGAGCCGTCGGGCTGCGACAAAGACAATGATCCGGTTCTGGAGGAGTTGGGCTGGAAGGGCCCGGCTGTGAGGAGGCAACGGGAACAACCGGGACCGGATCGAGGCAGAGGAGGCACGTCGACGGCGGGGCGATGTCGCAGTTGTTGAGGTGTAGAGTCCCGACACTTCCAGCTCAGCTCCGCAGCCTCCGAGAGGAAGCAAACTTTCCCCCGCAGGAGGAGCGGGTCAGGCGGCGGCAGCAGCTGCTAACTCGCGGTCCACTGAGACCAGACAGCCGCTCATGAGGAGGCTCCCCGGGGTTAAAGCTGCGGGTGTGAGCGTCAGGATGAACCGACTCCACACGCTCCTCTCACGGACTCACGTGCGCGTCCCCCCCTCGTACAACACACAAACCGTGAAAACACAACGAGCTCCAACACAAGCAGACACGGGTACCTTTCTTTGTGTGTGTGTGTGTGTGTGTGTGTGCGCGCGTGTGTGCGTGTCTCACCGCCTGGACGCGCCACTGTGAACACACCTGTATTGGAGAGAAACGACACTTCCGGTCAATGTCTAAAAAATAAAAGTACAAGCGCTGGCAAGGATGTAGTGTATGAATTAGAAATCTTTCTTCAGTCATGTGCAGCAGAAAAAAAGCACAGGAACAATCCCCATAAGTGACTGTAATGCACACATTATCTACATATTGATCTTGTGTTTTTAACTGCCCTTGTCCTATTCCGTGGTTTTATTTTGGCTTTTATTTTTTTTCTGCCTACAGTATCTTATTCTATTGTATTTTTACTGTATCCAAATACCGAACTGCCATGACGACCTAATTTCCATTTGGGGATGAATAAAGTAATCTATCTATCTATTGTGTGTATCCGCCAAACTAAAAGTGAAAAAACAAGGATCAAAGATATC